CTCACATCCTCCATAGTCCTTCTGAACGTTTTGTTGATACAGATATGGTCGATTTGGTTTTGAGTAGTGTGATCCGGTGAAACCCATGTAGCTTTGTGTATGCGGTTGTGCGGGAATATTGTGCCACCAATCACCAGTTTGTTGAAGGCACATAGGTTTGCAAATCTCTCACCAATTTCGTTCCTTTCTCCCAGTCCATGTCGTCCCATGATGTCTTCATATCCAGTGTTGTCCATTCCAACCTTGGCATTCAGGTCTCCCATAAGAATCGTCAAATCCTTTGGTGAACATTTCTCGACGATTGACTGCAGCCTTTCGTAGAATTGATCTTTAACGTCGTCATTGTAGTCATTGGTAGGTGTATAACATTCGATGACGTTCATTGTAATGTCCTCTTTCTTTGTTTTGAAGGATGCTTTAATGATCCTCGGTCCATGAGATTCCCATCCTATCAGTGCCTTTTGTGCATGTTTGGACAGCATCAGTGCAACTCCTTGTGTATGTGAAGGATTTTCCTCTTCATGACCAGAGTATAACAGCAGTTCCTCTGAAGCTAGTCTCAGTTGTCCTACCTGTGTCCAATGCGTTTCACTGATGCCGAGCACCTCCAGGTTGTATCTTTTCATTTTGCTGCAACTTGAAATAGTCTTCCAGTCTCCCACAATGTACGAACGTTCCATGTACCTAAAAGAATGGTTGCTCTGGTTGTCAGAAGAGGCATCGGCCTCGTGACTTCCGAGGGAACTCGGCTTTCATGACGCGACGCGTAGGATTTAATTTGTCCTAAACGCAATATTAGTGAGCACAGAGTCTATGGGAAAGCTATAGTAAGGACAAGACCAATTTTGCTTTAAACTTTATCTGTTTCTCAACATAAGAAGAATTAGATTAGTACAACAAATAAGGAAATTACAATTATCAAGTGAAACTAGCAAACGTACCGACCAGTATAGTGTGTATATGGAAATGAGAAAAGTTATGAGTCACATCAATTTAACAAGATAATAATGTCAATCAATTTGTTGGTCACTTACAACAGAGAAGGTTTACAGACACGTCAGATCAGATCACGTGGTGGGCGCCTAATTGGTTAGTTATGACATAACTACTATTAGTTATGGAAATAACTAACACTCCCCTCGAAGCGGTTACCACGTCTAGGCTCCGTTGCCGTCGCGCTCGAATAATCGACCTCTTCCAGTAGGTATAGGTTTCGTATATCTCGGTTGATCTCTGCGGTGTCTGTCTTCAACAGAATCGTTATGACTCAGCCATTTGCAGCACGATTGACCTGTCTAACTACAGCTTTCACCCACAGATTTCTCGGCAAACCAGTATTGTTTACTAACACTGAGTCTTCCTGTTGTGGATTCCTTCTCATTGACTTTATGATATGTTTCCATATACCGCCTCCAGAATCGAAGATTAATGGTATAAACGACAAATATTCCTTCTGGTAAGGTTTCTAGGAAACTCATGAACTTTAGAAAGTGATTCGTCTGTTCGGGCATTCCACTCGATCCTCAGCGTTCGTTTACTCATCTCGTTGGACTCGTATACGGTAATGTTTCCTTCAGTATGATGTTCCTCGTTAATTGCACCTATCCTCAAAGTTCGTGAGTCAAAAAGAGCAGCAGGCGTTTGTAACCAAATGAGAGTATTAATCAACAGTCTGATTTTATACACCAAACGCACTACTACCCGTGACCTACTGGGAGATTCGTTATTCTCTTCAGCACTGTTGTTGTGTATATCATTTAAATGGAAATCGACAGCTCCAAAATTATTCCACTTCTGTTTTTTAGCATCGGAAATATGAGCTCGGCAGTGCTGTCGAATAACTGGTATTTCTCTTTCACCAGCAACTAGGTCGACTTCCGCCAAAGTTAACGTTTCTTTCCGTTTATCTTCAACTACTTCCTTAATAGGATCCTCTAGATTTTTCGAGTCCTTACAGTCTGTATGAGAAGCTGTAACTACTTTAGCCAATGTAGTAAAAAGACATGAAGCAGAATCATGACCTGTAGATGAAGATGTTCATAAATTAACCGAAGCATCTTTCGACACATCAGAATTCACAACGCTTGATGAAATATTTGATCCGAAAACACAATCAGACGGAATGTCTTTCTTAGCTATAGTAAAACTTGATACAACGGTAGGCGACATAGCCAATTCATTTGATCCTTCGAGTGACTCAACGGAAGCCTGTGTGAGAGAAACAGGATTATTAGAAGGAGAACTAGAAAAATCCTGATCTATCGATATAGTGTGAGGAGGGTTTGTTCCATTCAGGTTTATCTGAATTTTATCATGTTCATTGTAACTTTCCACAATAAACAAATTTGATTTCTTCTCGGAAATGGACACGACTGTGTTACGATATTCGCTTCTTTTTTGACGTAAGCGTTCTATCTCAATTTATTTTTCTATCTGAGCTAAACTAACTTTAGCTAATTCTAAGTCTAACAAAGGATCTATTCGGTAGCTATTTCTTTTAAACTGGTCTTCACTATGAGTTTCCACGTGGTGGGGAGACAATTTAGGAATCTGATCAGTTTTAAGATTCTTTGTGGACAATTAAATGTACTATATGTATGAAATTCTGATGATATCGGTCGAAACAGATGCAGTTTAAAGCAAAATTGGTCTTGTTCTAACTATAGCTTTACCATAGACTCTGTGCTCACCAATATTGCGTTTATCGTTCTAGAATTACATCTGTAGGACAAATTCAATCCTACAGCTGGTCTCAGTTGTCCTACCTATGTCTAATGCGTTTCACTGATGCCGAGCACCTCCAGGTTGTATCTTTTCATTTTTCTGCAACTTGAAATAGTCTTCCAGTCTCCGACAATGTACGAACGTTTCAAGTACCTAAAAATATGGTTGCTCTGGTTGTCAGAAGAGGCATCGGCCTCGTGACTTCCGAGGGAACTCGGCTTTCATGACGCGACGTCATAATTCTTCTTCCAACTCCCAGGGCAGAGTTAAAATGGTTTGAAGTAGTTTTCTGGTTAACGTTTTTTGGCAAGTAAGTTTTTGACGGAATGTGGTCGCCAACCCCATGTCCAACCCTCCTCCTTTATCCGGGCTCGGGACCGGCAATAGCCCCGAAGGTTCTTCTGGCGGAGCGACAAGAACCTTAACCTGTTTAATATCATTGTGAGTTACCTCTTGTTCATGTAGTAGCATGGTAATAAATTTTAATTTCCACAATTTATTAACATTAAAACACACTGCTTCATTTCTTACCTATCACCCTATTCAAGAGTTTTCATCATATTCTTTCACTAGCTGCCCATCCCTATCATTGTCAAAAATTAGTATTTACAGACCTGCATCGCTGTGATATGCTACTTGACTATATAATCCAGCTACAGCTTTCTGATTTGCTTGTATGATACTGCAGTTGGATATCAAGTCCATGTACCGACACTCAGGCTGTCTGTTTTGCATGTAATATGGAACTAGTAGAGAAAGTGTATCCCTACAAGATAGGGAAAAATCGAGACCAGAAGTAGGCAGTCAGTCAGCTAAAACGTAGAACTTCTTACGTACAAAAATCAGTTCAAGGTGCCAAGCCACATTAGCACAGATATAATTTTGAATTCAAATCTTATAGTAGAATGGGTGTTAGGAGAATCGGAGGTAATGGAGAGGTTGAATCCAGACCGTCGCAAACGATTTTGAGCCATTTCGTTTATAGTCTCTAACTATCGGTTACTACTGTCTCACAAACCCCAACCAGATAGTCTAAACCTACCTAAACGACTCACCCCAATAGCCAATTACATATGATCATTTAGGTCCTACCATGCAAGATAGGTCGATTGGAGAACAATAAGACGGAAGCAGCAGGTTAAAGTTTGTCGGCGAAGACATACTGATGACTTTAGAGAGGTGTGACAGGTAAGGTGTTTCCCTCGGATCCACAGCATCTGCAGGGATGCTGCCTTCGTAAAACGGAAGGAATGAGCTAGCAAACGTCAACTCTAAAAATGCTACTCCCCGCTTTACTCCATGGATTTCCGTCAACCGCTGTGATACACTAACGGAAGCACATGTGAAACATATCGTTTCGTCTTCTGCATAGGGAGATGAATGCACAGATATAGTTTAGTATTGGTGCATGTTAAACAGTTGTCGAATAAATCTATTCTCCGTTTTGCCTTCTCGCTCCAGACGAAATGGAGTCTTAATCAGCCACAACGCTTGGACGAATCGCTTCGGATATTTGCATAGATTACATTTGATAAGGTCAACGTAAACATTTAGTGTCTGAATATTGATATTTTTGACAGTGTTTGTAGCTGTAGGGCTTTTTAGAACGAAGATCCCTGTTGTCATAATTCTAACTGAGTTACGAACTTCGGGCAATCACTTTAGAGATTTTTGGCTCTTTTCAGAAAACACTCACCGCCTCACCGTGAAGTTCTAAATGTTGTTGCAATCTTTCCTTAGAAGAGATGCAAATCTTTCAGACCAAACAGTGATGAGTATCTAAGTTGTTAAATAGGCTAGGGAAAAAACTGCACGAAGACTCATTCCATCACTCAGGATTATTCTCGCTGAGGTATAGGATACAAACACATTTTCTGAGATGAAAAGATAAACGAATCCACAAATAACTATCAAAATAACTGAACTTAATACAGTCGAGTTGCCAGCACACTTAAGAAGACTAGACACCACTCCGAAGCAACAAGAAGCGAGAGCGAAGAAATTGATCGCTTTTGCTGGATCGCTCACTACCAAGCACCGAAGAAACGAGTGCAAAGAAATCAGAAGGTCTGTACTAGCCCGTGAAAAAAGGTATTGGATATTGGAAGACATTGGACGTTGGGTAGCGGGATTTACGCGGGCATGTCACACTATGTTTTTATTTTTGATTATTTTACATCTCTGTGTGGCGCTTGCTCACACTCTTCAGTCTAGCTTGGATCTATCGTGTGAAAATCTCTTACCAGGACAGTACATTTGTGACCCTCCTTTGATAGACGAGCTGACTCAACAGCCAAGGAATTGTTCACTCCTTTTAAAAGCTCCAGGTACTTATAAGATTTCCCTCAATACTCTGTGTAAGTTGACTGCAGACCGGCCCCAGGAATTCACTGTAGTGGAAAGCTTTACACTGGTACGGAAGTCGGTTTTCAAAAGCTAATAGATTGCCGTCGAGTGTAGTTTGACCATAATATTTAGTGCTAACTGTATTTCTGTATAGTACAGGATATAAGTTTGATTTGGCATTATTGTTATCAATTTTCGGTGGATTGCTTGGCCTAGATCGGTTCTATCTTGGATACCCGGCCTTGGGTTAGTTAGCCGATTAACAATATTCTTGCTTAGGTTGTTTGAAATTTTTCACATTCGGTGGTTTTGGTCTCTGGTATCTGGTCGATATACTCCTGATTTCGGTTGAAGTGAGTGTAACGATTTCATCCTTTGTATAAAGTAACAGTATTGTACAAGGTTGCTGTTTCTTGTCTCTCTAATAGTTTGATAATAATCCCCTTGGAGACCAGAGGAGACAATATTGTTCAAGTATCAAAACTATTTTTGTCTCTTACTTATAAGTGTATACTTAATACTGAAACCTTCTAAGATTGGTTGTTCAGTATATGTGACAGGAAACGGTTCATCAAGTTTCTAGCGAATCGGTAAATATTTTATGGAAGGTACCAAAAGGCCGGTCGTTTGATGGCTTACGAGAAGTCATTCGACATAATTGAATATAATGGTGCCCTCCAAAGATACTGTTACTGATAGAAGTGTTTTTGGTTTACATTATATTTTCTTGGATCCTTTTAATGATGTAAGTCTTGAAAGCCTTCAACGATTATCTGCGACAGCTTGTCTGATTCCTAGAAGTAAATAATATTTCAGTGTTAGTCTGTACAGGTATCTGAAGTTGCAACAAAAAAAATGCTTGGGTTTATTAAAAGCAAACAAATGAGCTAAAAATGCACAACACCTGTTTGTGGAGTTGCTTGTGTTCCTTCTCTTCACATGCCCTAAATACGATGATCCTATTCAACAATTGTTCACACAGTATCGATCCGAAAAATTAGTAGGTCTACATTGAATAGAACTGGTAGGCCATGCGTTGGTCATCCGAATTCACTATTCATTCCTCTAAACCAAACCTGTTAAAGTAAAATAAAACAAAACTTTAAAATCCTAACACAATGAACTGGTTCAAATTCGATGCAAAAGTCAGCATATTAGTATCAACATTTCAGAAAGTAGTGTAAATGATCAACACTGCTAGTCTTCTTTGATTCATCTCAGGTTGTTTGCTGGCTGTTGGATAACTGTAAATCAGACTTCCAACTCTGGTAGCGCCTCTAGTCTATTCCCCCAATCCTAGTTTGGGCTTTTAATAATCATCATATTTCCCTAGGTTTCTGATATCATTAATTGGCTAGCATAAGCTAATTCCAGTAAGAAAAATATACTTTGTCCGTAATCATGGTATTTTTTACTAATTCCTAATTATTGTTTAGACTAACCACCAGTCGTTTTCTGTTAACGGTACGAGATCGGCCGTCTCTTCCCGACTGTCCACATCTTAGAAGGGCACTGTGAAGAACCTAAAAAATTATCTGGGTGAATACTAGTCTTAGTGATCTGGAGGCGTGATCTCAGAACATAAGGGTCAACTGCTTGGGGCCGGTTACTCACGGCCTTTTTATGCAATGTTTCTGAATTTTTAGCTCCTCTCTTCAAAACGCCTTACCGCTGGATACGGAAATCCCTGGGGTGACGTATTTTGGGTCGACCTTTTCTAACCTATTCCTTCTGTTGCGAAAGGCAGCATCACTAGATGCTGTTTGTCGGACGAAAACACTTCTGCCGTCACACCTCTCCACAGTCAGTAGTACGACTTCGCTCTCAGACTCCAAGTTGCTACTTTTAGTCTTACCCTTCTCCAGCCGGGCTGCTTGGCATAATCAGATCTAAGTTAGCACGTGTCCCAGCCAGTTGGGTCATCACGATAGACAAGCCCGACCACCACACCAAGGTAGCATCCACTAACTGTAACTAATATTGTTTCCCTTAGGTATTTCCTCCTTTTTTTTAGTGTGGTAAACCCCATCTCCACACTGACACGTCAGTGCTCAAGTTAGTTTTATCTCTCCGAATATAAACAGGTATAAAATTCTAAGCTCAAGGTTTCTTACTAGTTATATTCAACCATGTGTAATGTAACAGATGTTTGAACAAACACTGAATTAGTTTTTTATACTAATCTTTGGCAAACCAGAGTTTGTTAGTTAAATGTTCACTTCATTCTGTTTACGGTAGACTATCCGTTTGTTCCCAATAAATTTGTTACAGATGTATTTCATCGCAAACTTCCACATATGCATCATGGTATCTGATTCATTAATCAGGCAAAATATTAGCAGTCATCACTGTGTGTGATACTGATTGTCCTGATTAAACTATTTTGATCTCACTTAATACTAAACTACTTCTATTATCGTCTTCCGTAAACAATATACTTTCTAATTTTTGTTTTTAGACTGTAGGCCCTGCGGACGGATCGTCATTCCTTCGACCCTACTACGATCCTACAGTAACACTTCTGTGCCGGACTAACTTTACGGTGTATATTGGCTGAATGTCTATCACACACCACCTAGGAACAAAGGAAAAAGAATCGAGCTCCTTTCTGCGTCTTCGCTATTTGTCTTTGCTACAGAAAATCAGTGGAAACTGTTCAGTTTTACTTTATTTAATAGATTTAAAAGAGCCTCTCGAGGCCATTCTAAATATTTGGTGCCCTTCGGATATAAGAAGCAGCTCAAAACTGAAGTTAGAACCAGGATATATTTGTGTAAAAGATCTGCATACTCCACTAGGTGTAGTTTGCAAAGCTCGTATTCGCGAATCTGACGTATTAGCCATCCAAACTTTTACGGATTAAAATGTCTGAATGTCCGTCCCGGTTTGGCGATACACCACCTGTACCACCGAAAAAGCGTGCTCGACTGGATGTACCAACGGTTGATACTGTTAACGGTTCTACAGATGCTACCTCTTTTTGCCCTGAGAACATGCATTTAGTGTCTGTGCTTCAAAACGATCTTCGAAGTAAGTGTTTAGTGTTGCATACTCGTTTTGGTGATGATCCAAAGGAAGCTATTGTAACGCTTCAGAAATCGTCATTCCCAAATGATCCAAACACTTTAAGACGTTGTAAAGTAGTTAATAAGCTCATCGGTTTCCATGCTTCCAACGATATTAATGAACAAAATAAAACTGACGAGACTGAAGATGATAATTTTCCTCAATGGCAAGCCAAGTCTATTATGAAAAACGATATTTATCATCGCTTTCTTATAACAAATGGTCTAGAGTCTATCAATGGTATTGAAATGACCGTGACATATCCTGCCGAATCACATCACTTTTCTAGATATACCAACTCCCCTCGTCACATTATCCAAGAGACTCCTGAATTGTATAAAGATATCATTCTCCCTTTTTTGTCCCAGAAACCCAAGGATCTTACTTGGATTGATAATGTAATCGCAGGAATTGCTGAACAAGATCGTACTCTTCACAGTGATCCTGATGAAGTATTTGGATTCACATTAGTATTAGATTATCGATGGGATGGATTACGCATTCAAGAACTTCACTGTCTGGGTATCGCTCATGATCAAAAATTGACGTGTCTACGAGATCTTCGTAGTTGTCACGTTCCAATGCTAAAAAAGATTTTGCAAGTAGGCCGTGATACACTCTTTTCAAAATATTCTACATCAGAAACATCCGATAATCAAATGTCCAGTGATAATTCAAAAATTCTTTTATCAAAAGACCAAATTCTTGCATATATACATTATCCACCGACTTTTTATAGATTCCACATTCATTTCGTACACATGGATTCTGGAGACAACTATAGCACTAATGCATGCAGAGCACACATACTCGAAGAAGTTATCCGAAATCTTGAACAGGATGATTTGTATTATGCAAATCGTACAATCACAATGTTTCTGCATGCTAATAGTCCCATGTTTACGGCTATTTGTGAAAACAACTCTCAAAAATATGTCGTCACTTCAGTTCCTGATTAAATCCCACTCTTAGTTTAGCTTTATGGAGTAATATAAGATATTGTACTGTTCAAACTTTGTAATAAAATCGTTTCAGTAAATATAAATGCACCTGTCCTATTATGACTTTATGTTATTTTCTATAAAATTTTGTGCTCTACAAAATTCTAGGTCCAGTCGTTAAATTATTAGTCTTGCAAAGTGTTTAACTTTCTCCAAGTCTGAATTAAGCTCCAAGATTTAAGGGAGGTGTATAACGTATAACGACTTACGAATGTATGAGGAAACTTCTGCTTAGATAATCGTAGCTCTGGTTTCATTTATTCCTTAAAAATAGTAAGAAGGCTTCTCACAAACTTTTACGAACAACTAAGTAAACTTAGTGACAACTAAAGATACGTCTAACAAAATTTTGTTGGTTAACATTCTAAATGTAATCACTGTCCTCAGGAATCTTCATTCTAATGATCTGTTAGGAAGTTTTTGGTAATAATTCCGGTAATTCTACGACACTCGAGCTGGAAAGAAAAGTGGACATCTCTTCTAGAGTGGGAACGTCATAATATTGTGGTACTGAAGAAGAACCAGCAAAGTTAAGGACAGGAAGATGCTTATTATCCGCGGGCATCGCACGCCATCGTGGGAATGATCTCAAGCCACGCATAGAGATCTCGATTTTAAATGTTAGTAAGTCCATACAGGATACATAACTTCACTAATTTTGGTCGTGGGCGTAAACTGGTATAAAACTCGTACCTTGTTCACAACATAACTACATAAATATCATCATGATTACGTAACATTATGCATTGATACTTTTTTAACAGAAGGAGGACCATATTTCAATCCAAACTTAAATAATTGGATGCATTTCTTGGTCAGTGCGAATTCGGTGGTCAGAACTATTTGCAGTTAATTTATAGAAGACCATACGTAGTCATGGCCTTACGAGTAAGATGTATCGGATGGGACTACTTAGGATAATTTCTTACGAACTCAAACTTTTCGAAACTGATGTTCTTGTTATTTATGTCGCTTGGTAGGGTAGTCTCTTAATCGGTCAGCTCAAGATTTAAACCATACATTATTGAGATTCATTGCCTGCTGTGATTCGCTTCTGCGTACAGACTCGACCACTATGCCAACATTGCAAACGATTTTGAGTCATATCTTTCAACGTCTCTAACCATCGGTTACTTCCATTTCGCGGACCCCAACCAGGTAGCCTGTATCTACCAACATGAATCAGTCCACTTGTCGGTGACTTCATGGATTTATGCCATGTTTTATTCTGGCCGCCCCTAGCATCCTTCCAACCTACTTCACTACCAAACATCGCTCGTCAAGGTAGTCGGTGGTTTGGCATACGTAACACATGTCCCAACCACCTCAACCAGTTTCAATACCTCATCAACTGATCTTTCATTCCTACCTAGTACTCGTTTCCTAAGAATGAATGCACCGGCGCCATTGAAAACGGTTTTGAGGCATGTCATTCAGGGTCTCTAACCATCGATTATTATCATCTCGCGGACCCCAACCAGGTAGTCGACAACCACTGACATGGCTAAGTCCACTCGTCAATGACTTCATGGATTGCTGCCATGTTTTGGTCTGGCCGCCTCTAACTTTCTTCCAACCTACTCCTACATTGTAAAACAAAGCTCGTCGAGGCAGTCGGTGGTTAGGCATACGCAGCACATGTCCCATCCACCTCAACTTATAAAGTTTCATTAGTTCATCTATTTATCTGCCATTCTTACCTAGCACCCGTTTTCCAATGACAGCCTTGCTCACTCGGCTGTCTGAGGATATACGAGCAATGCTTCGAAGACACCTATGGTCGGAAACCAGTAATCTACTAATACCTTCTACTCTCACTGGCAATGTTTCACAGCCATAAAGTAAGACGGACCGAACTACTGCACAGTACACTCGTCCTTTCGTCAGCAAACAGATATCTCGCCTAAGCCATAAGTGACGCAGGTTGGCAAAAGCTAATTGAGCTGAGATTTCGTCAGTCGCCAGTACTGATGAGACTCCCCAGATAAGTGAAGCGGTCTATACGTTCGACTTCTTCACTTCCTATCACTAGTTCAGGTGCTGATCTTGAAGCAACATTTCGCATTTCGAGGGTGAGAACCGCATCCCAAACATGCTTACATTGTTGCTTCGGGTGGTCAGTTGACTCTGCATTTTGTGAGCGCCTTCGCCAAAAAGGACTATGTCATCGGCATATTCTAAGTCAATAAGCTAGCACCCTGGTAAAAGGTCTACTCATGAAAATTCAGACGAGGATGAGGTTATATCTAGGAGTATGTCCATAATAAACCTAAACAAGAATGGAAAAAGTGGACATCACTTGAAGTAAAGACCTGTCGTAGTGTGAAGATGTGGTCTATACATACACACCCAGGTCGGAAACCACCCTGGTTTTCTATATTCTGCTCTTCACGAACCCTAGTTAGGCGTAGAAGTATTATCGAGGCTAACATATTTGATATTACATTAGTGAGAATGATTCCTCTGTGATTGTCACAAGAGGAATTTTGTCCTTTCTTATAAATTGGGACAATCGGCGATTGAAACCAGTCAGATGGGATTTCGTCCAGTTCCCGGATTCTACCTGAGATCTCAGTCAAACTAGCTTCTAAAACTGGACCACCGTCCTTAAGAATCTCAGGGGTAAGCCTATCAAGATCCACTGCTCTCCCTCACTTCAGATTTCCTATCGCTTTTTCAACTTTGTTAAGAGTCGGAGGACTTATATCGATTTGCCATTGTGATGACGGAAGGTCGTAGGTAACTGAAGTGTGACCAGTTGAACTGATCCTTAAAGTGTTCTGCCCATCGATCTAATCTCGTGGGTTGAGAATGAATAGTAGACTATCCTTTCCTGAGATAGTTTCGCCAACAGATGCATTCCTAGTACCATTTTCCTTGACAAGTCGGAGCAGTTTACGTTTGTTACCTATCACCGCAGCCTTTTCAATCTCTCTTACTATCGTCATCCACCACTGTTCTCGATCATTTCGTAGGCCTTTTATCAGCCTACCTCTAAGCTGACTCCGCTCCTCAGAGCCTGGAGGGATGAGTTTTTGAGCATCCACCAGGTCGGTAGATGCTAATGAGATCCACAGCTTCTCACTAACCTTGTGGTTTGTCTTACTAGTAGGTATCACTGCTGTTTCCACAGCCTTTTTGACATCATTCCAACCTGACTCCGGATGAGAATCGCTCACATGGTCGCTTGTCTTTCTAGTTTCTCCTGGAATATATTCTGAGCTTTATTATCATTGAGTAAAACCCTAAGAGGCTTCCTTATGGTGTCCAGTAAGTCGCAAACAGATGAGCGCTCGCACTAGGGCATGATCTGAATCTAAGCATGTGACCCAGAACGAGCGACAGTCTTCTATCGAACCCCTCCATCGGTGGCTGACGGCGATGTGATCCGGTTGGGTCTATCGTTGAGACGACTTTGGGGGTCGCCAGGTCAAGAGATGCTTTTCCTTATGCTTAAAGTTAGTTTTTGCTAGAAACAGGCGGTTATCTGAGCGTAGTTGCAGCAAACGGTCGTCATTATCTGTTCTTCGAGCCGCGACACCATAAGATCCACCAAGGTGTCTTTCCTGCTCACTTAGTCTGCCTACCTGAGCATTAAAGTCGCCCGCCACTATTACTACATCAGAGCTCCTAACTTTTTGGAGGAGGTTGGAAAGCCTCGTGTGAAATTAATCTTTTACCTCACTTGAGCTGCAGTCAGTGGGAGCGTAGGCAGATACGATGAAGAGGCGACGGCGAGTGTCCTTATTGTCCCGTTTAGTCGGACAGCGCACAAGCGACTATCTACCGGGATGCATTCCAGGAGAGCTAGTTCTGCCCTACGACTCAATGCTATACTTATGCCAGCTAGACCCCGGGAAACAGCATCAGGGCTTCCAGATACACGAGGAGTAAATCGAAGTGCTTCTTTATTTCGACATGGAGAGGTCAAGGGAACTACACTATTTGGATCCTGTATGCGCGTTTCGGAGACGCAGCATATATCGACGGCACGAGATTCTAAAATCCTAGCTAAGGAAGCCTGTTTCCCTAATTGACACAATGTCCGTACATTGAAAGCTACAACACGTAGTTTAGAGCGGGGTTTCAGGAGACCAGGAATAAAGTAGCGGTGCGGGGTGATAGAGGAATGCGAGAAGAGTTAGTCGTGAAGATAAAGGGGATGTTAGGGGGTGTAGGAAGGATTTGATTGTGACCGATTCGGTCTTGGGTACGTGTGTGAGGGCGGATGTCACTTCCCAGCTGCCCACACCGTGGGAGGGTGTTTCTTGAGGAACCTGAAAAGGAAGGTAGATTAGTGTTGGTCCTAACAATCTAGGAGCGTGATCGCAGAGCGTAAGGGACAACTGATTGAGACTGGTCATGCGTGGCCTTTTTATGAGAAGTTTTTAAAATATTAGCTCCTCTTGTTTTAAGCCCTTACCTCCGGAGACAGAAATCAGTGAGGTAAGGTAAGTTGTGACATTTTTAGGGTCGACCTTTTCTAACCGCTTTCTTCCTTGTGAGAAGGCAGCACCGCTGCAATGCTGGTTGTCTGAGGGAAAAACCTTACTGCTGTCACATTCTTCTACAGTCAGCATACGACTGCTCCCAGAGCTTGAGTAGCTGCTTTTAGTCTCACCGTCGTCGAATCGACCCAACTCGCATGGTGCGAGCTACTTATAAGTAGTATATGACATGAGTGTCAACGTAATGTCTGGCAGCAGAAGATGGGGGAAGATCAAGAAACGAAGAGTTAGAAAACAATGGAATTTGTATGAAACTCATGAACAGTGACAATGGATTGATGTTTTGCAACAGGAACAGTCGAGTTCGATATGATGAACTGTTATTTTGCGAATTAACGATATGGTTTTCCGATTTTACTGAGTAACTCTGTAATTTTCGTTAAATACAATTCAGTTGCCCCACCTGTGTTATCCTTCACTACAGTGGGACCTAAAAGAACATACACCCCAATAAATATAGCTCGGTTGGGTTATCACGATGTGCGATCTCGACCATCGCTTCAAGGTAGCAGCTACGCCCGGTCTTCACTATCTGATTATAGAAATCCCTATGCAAAAGTCCACTACTATTTAGCAACAAGGCAGTCTATAATTATAGATTCACGGAGCTTGAAACAGATGATGCAGTAGTTTTGAATACGTGGTGACGCTACAATTATGTCTACTCAACTTACTGAGAGATTAGTTTTATCAATTATAGAGTATGATTTGTAAATGTAAAAAATAGGTTTAGGAAATTACGGGATATGAGCTTAACGTATCGCATACGACTGGGAACTTTAAGTCTGTATCTCTAATCACTTCTATGCAAGTTATTCTGCGTACAAATCATGACTGGTTTCCAGTATTTTTGTTCGGACACCAGGCGCTTACAAGGAGTCCCGTAACTTGGAGTGAATGTCACAATATTTTGTTCTTGAAAGTTCATACATTTCGGAACTGATGAAAACAGAACGAATTGACTTCTGGAATCCTGTTGTAACTAAATTTTTCAGTGCTGCAGCGTTTCTGTCCGCGTTACGTGTTATACACCAAGCAGACGGGTGATTCTTCTTGCTATTTTTTACCTAGTTTATTTCAAGATTAATCCAGCTTATATCAAGTTTCACAATCATAAGGTACGCAAATTTATAGTAGCATGTGACAACGAGACTATTCCTGATATTTAGAACTTGTACCCAATAGAGTAAGTCATAGAGCCAAATACTGAAATTCTAGTCAGTTGCACCTATCTATTGCAGCCTCCATTTTAAACGAACGATGATAAATGATGCAAACAGCAAGAAAACACTCATATAAAACGAAATATCGATTCCAAACTAGGAAGTCCCTTGGCTGTATAAAAAAGCTGGGTGTAATATTTGACAATCAATCCGAAATCTCATAAATAGGATATTTTTTACAAGGGAAATTACAAACTTTATTAAATATATAAGGTGTAAAACGAATATGCTGAAATATATCGAAAGAAATGGATACTGTTCCCTAAAGTATATGAAGTTAAATATTATTTTGAAATCGAATCATTAATGTATTATGAACAACTGGGAGTAGGTGTTCAAGCCTTCAAAGTGGGTAGCACGTGCAATTTTCCAAGTAATCTGTTTTGCGAATGAAATGTTGAGTAGTCAGAAGTACTCAAATTACTTCAGTGCATTAGTATTATGAGTTTCAGGCCAACGATGAGACCACCACACGAGGAACTGATAAAAACGAGGGAGATGGATCTTTTTTATTTGTAACCCATATGATTCAGCTGAACGAGGAGATGAGGTTGAATCACTAAATTGTTGTTGCGGTGGTGATCGTAAATATCGACGACATCGTGATAAAGCTGCTGTTTCCGCATCTTCTGCTGTGATATCACCTTCACTGCCATCACCGGTGGAATGTACTTCTTCTTCGTCGAAAGCATCCAGATAGAGTTCGAGATTATTTCTGGAAGATGTATCATAACCTTCCTGAACTCTCAAAATAGCTCTTAACAATTCTGTTGTAGCCTGAGGATCGATATAGATTGACTTTATTGGTGGACAAGCCAGCCCCATTCCAGCAGCTTCCGCTTGCAAACGCCATAAAGCAAGAACAATCAAGTCATCTGAATGACCTAACGCACGTGCATTCTCTACTGGCCATCCCTGGGGAGCTGGAGATGCTGTCATTATATGAGCTATCGCATATAGTCTATCTGCCAAAGATGGATATTCACATGAGTTTTGAGAAGACTGATCAGTGAAATGTACTACAGGTCGACATATTACTCCAGGAAGACCTCGGACAGACTGTGTTTGTCCAACAGGAACCAAAGACTTACGAGCAAGAGGAATTTCAGAAACAAGAAGACGGTGGACAATTAGATATAGACATGGCATAGTCGGGACTGGTAAACGACAATGTCCGTCCCCAGAACCCATTTCTATGGCAGCTGTTGCAGCAGCAGAATATGCAATATGACACGCTTCAGGTTGGTCTGTGGCCTGCCAATCACGTAGCCCCAAACCACAAGCAGGGCAAATAGTTTCGTCTCCGGAACCGGTGTGATAAAAGCCTGCGGAGGCCAGCTCAGTAGGAGATGGAACTGGAGACTTTGACCGGTAAGTTGATGAGTCTTTTCCAGAATCTTTTGAATGGATGATTTTCGGGAATGAATCTAGCCGCGCCTGATGAAATGCATAACGAGGTGTACGGGAATGAATTTGCAATAATCCAGCTGTATGGAAAACAAACAAAATTAGGTAAAGTAGTACCAAGCAAAGGGGCTTGAGGGCAAGTTAATTTTTTTCACTAAACAGTAAAAGCCGACAAGCCAAACGAAACTACATTCTTTATTAATCAAGAAATTAGTGCCTTTAGTAAAATCATGATTTCAATATAATGTGATGGAAATTCTCTCCATAAATAAGCTGGACTATACAATAGCGATTTAGCATAAATAAATAGCTTTAAATGCTTAACTAATGTCGCCGGAAGCTTTCACTTGAAATGGATTACACAGATTATATCCAAACACAATATAAAGTCATCAAGAAGGAGTACTTATGACAATTTAACTTCAGGTGAATTCAGGAGATACTGAGACAAAATTGCGCATAACTATTTCTTAGTAAATGTTTAAACCCGAAGATTTTCCAAAATTGCAGATGTTCCTCAAAGGAATATACTAAATGAACAATTTGATTGCAAACAAGCTTTATGTAATCATATATCATGTTATTAAGCCGTGGGTGTGTAACAGTAATCCTCAAGTTACCACTGATAGTAGTAGATAAGTCTATATTTTAAGTCCAGAAGAGTTATAAATGGAAACTAACTGATGTATTTCTGTGATAAAAATTGTGCTATTCCTAAAAATAGTAAACTGTAAGTTGCCTATTTCAAACAAAAATCTGTCTACTTTGATTCAGTAATTTATCACATTCTCTCGAATGTGACCTCAGATCATTGTAATTATTAGTACATCTGAACTAGGTTTGCAACATAACTACATAAGTGAACCAAATTAACCACATGGAATCTAATCAAAAGTTCAGTGACAAAAACAGGAAAAAAACTAGAGAGTATTATAACAATACCTGATAGTTACAGTTTTTTAACATATCACATGAACCCTAGTTACTTTGACAAAAAAAGTAAGCTCACAAGTAAGTCATATTATTGATTGCCAGTTTTCAAACAGTGAATACAAGTGTGAGTTAGAAAAACAGTAATCAAAAAATATCTTGCCTGCTGGAACCAGTAAAGAAAGACGGTATTATTTAAAAGTTGGCAACTTTTGTGAAGTAACGTCTTATCGGTACTTATGCAACTACCGAAAGTATTAACTTGAACAGATACAAGTTTGTTAGGGTTCGCATTGTTTAATTAACCGCTGTCATTACTGACTACACGTTATTATCTACGAATATTTCATATAAAATTTGATGAAAGTCATTTATTTAGAGTAGAGTCTTTAAATACATGTAACTCAATATATCATCATCATCAACAGCAACGCAGAACTTTGCACGTAAGTACAGCAGTTCAAGTTGTCATACCGCATTAGCATAGAGATATAATTATCAATTCAAATCCCATAGTAGTAGAGGTAGTAAAAGTATTAGAAGTAATCGGAGAGATTAGGGTTCGAAGATGTTATTCAAGAAGTATAATTCAGTGAGGTAGATTTAGAAAGAGAAAGATAGAGGTGATGATTAATTCAGAAGGTCAGAATTCCATAGAACACAAAGAATAAATGCACCTGCTCCATTGAAAACGGTTTTGAGCCATGTCATTCAGGGTCTCTAACCATCGATTATTATCATCTCGCGGACCCCAACCAGGTAGTCGACAACTACCAACATGGCTTGGTTCACTTGTCACTGACTTTACGGATTTGTGCCATGTTTTTTTCTCTGGTCGCCCCTAACTTTTGTCCAAGCTATTCCTATATCGCAAAACATAGCTCGACGAGGCAGTCGGTGGTTGGGCACACGTAGAACACATCCCAACCACTTCAACTGATGATTACTCGGCTGTACCAGGATATACGAGCAATGCTTCGAAGACACCTTTCATCGGAAACCAGTACCCTACGAATATGTTGTTTCACAGCCGTAAAGTAAGACGGACCGAACTACTGCACAGTACACTAGTCCTTTAGTCAGCAAACGGATATCTCGCCTTCACCATAAGTGACGCAGGTTGGCAAAAGCTAATCGAACTTTCTGTATCCGTGCTGAGATTTCGTCAGTCACTAGGCCATCGGCACTGATGAGACTCCCGAGATAAACTCTATATGTTATGATGAGAATTACAAGCGGTTATTGCAACATGTCGCAAAGTCGGTTGTATTCTTGCAGCTGCACTCATTTCCTATCTTGCTCAAAAGTTTTAAGTATATTCTCCAACTAATTATTTTCTTTTTTTCAGTGTTTTTGACGATCAGTCTCGACAGGTGTACAACGCAACGCACATTTGTCCCATCTCATGAATTAGTGATGAATAACTTAAAACATCATAGTGCTGATACAAGTAAATGACTTCTTTCACATTTCTACGGTAAAAATCATTAGTGACGAGACGTGCTGGGAAACTTCCATCAGATCTAATAACTTTTAAATTAACAAGATTCGTTAGTTGCATGTGCATTAACTGATATACACAAAATTCGTTTTATGTTGCATCAACACTTACTCCGTATAACTTGCAGATGTGTGGATAAAATTATATGGTCTACAAGAAAAACGAGTGGACCAATATCTGAAACCGGTAAGTGATAGACTGATTCATGTGGGAAACTGGAGACTCAATTTACGGGTTAAAGTGATGATAATAATAATGTGATAAAGTAAATTAATCAAGTCAGATTTAAGTTAGATGAGTCATCTTGTTCGCCTTTATAATACTACTCATACTTTTAAACAAAAGTAAGTGAAACAGGGTTTATATAAGTAAACAATTAGTTGAAACCCGAATACTCGAATCACTAAGTCATAGGCTAAAAAGCGAAAATCTATTGCCACCTCCAGAAGATAATGAAGATTCAAGACAATTTTCGGAACTACTTAATATTTCCTAAATAAATTTAAGCGACTGAATTAAAGATGACTACACCTGTGGGTTTGATCAGTTTAAGGTCTCTCAAAAGGTTCCAGTCAGTCGTTCTTAACAACGGCGGCTGCCTGGGAAAAACATACTACTATATCCAAGTGTCTTTACTTTTTAATGCCAATTGTCATTAAGTAACCTAATTTTACTAGTTTCAGCTGTGAAATAATCGAGGATGTGAAATCTTACTTTTTACTCATCATGGTAAGATAGTATACATAATTGGATGCAATCATTTGAAAACAGGCACCGTTTCGGTTGTGTAAATCTCACAGAACTCAGACTAAATCGAAAATTCGTTTAACAATGAGTGAATCTTCACCCTTAAAAATAAAAACTCATAAAAATCTATACTTTTCGTGAAGACAAATGACCCTAAATATCGGGAGAGTATTGTTACTATAAATTAAGATTAGTAGGACAAAAAAGTGCAAGGTAACAAAAACGGTAGTCAAAATATCGATTGCATTCTAATGAAAATTTGATTTAAACTTACCCAAAACGAGTGTTGCAGATGCGTAATCCAATTCATCCTCGGACTGAACAGTTGCAGAAAAAGTATCATCTAGTGCATTTGACAGGTTCTGAAAACAAGACATCTTGACTCGCAGATTTCGTTTATTCACTCTTATTAATGCACGGCTACGTCACTCAGACAATACTCAGAAAAACAACCCACTCCCCAAGATTCAACCGGATTAGTGACGAGCTAATGACGAGTTTCGGTAGATACGGTTCTTGCTTTATTCCAATTGGCCTCCAATTTATTGACCTTTTAGTTTGAATTTGCATGTAATTAGAGAATTTCGACCAATCAGAACTACCTGCCTTTCATAGTTCTTATAGGTCAATAAATTTAAAAACCAATCAAACCCTACATAGTTGTAATGACCTTAATTCGTCAGGTGGTTCATTTGGCTGGCAGTTAGTGGCCTTGAAAAATTAAAAGTTTATGGTCACCACTACAATAACCAAGATTCTCATTTGTTTCCCGTAGTCTTCTTTATCCAACGACTTAGCCGGTTTCGACAACATTAATTCAGATTCATGTGTGTCTTAAAGATAAGACAACATGGCCAGTGTTAGTTTTGTTTCTTGTAAGTTCCTGAGGTTTCTTATCTGGTGAATCGGTCAGTGGAAGGTGCTGATTCCACGTCTTCGGGCAACAGGTTCCAACAATTGATGACCATGTAAAAATCTGTATTCCACGGTTATATAGTTCGTCCCCGGCTTTTGTATATATATATATATATATATATATATATATATATATATCAGGATATATTAGGTCCAAAATCATTTCTTAGTATTCTGTACATAAAAACCAGATCAGCTCTTAATCTAAGATAGGAAAAAGTAACTATTCCAGACATTTCAAGCCACTCTGTATATGATAAACCTCGGAGTTCTGGAATTGCATCAATAGCTGCCTTCTGTACTTCCTCTAAGTTATACAAGTCACCTTATAAACAGGATCGTGCAGCCTGAATGCAGTTTACAAGTCTGAATCTCACAATAATCGTGCATATCGTCATTAAAATACTGTTATCCAGCCTAGTAAGTGTTTGTTTTAAAACCCACAGGTATCTAAACCGCTTATCCGCAACCACATAGCTGTCGACCGCGCTCTTGAGATTGTGTCTTGCCCTAATTAATGACATTGGAGCTCTGAAGTCCTCGTTTTTAAGCTTGGCTTTGAAACTGAGGAATATTCCTGGTATCCATTTAGTATCAATGACGAGAGTACTCATAAGAAAATTACCTCAGAAATTAGTATTGATTACTAGTGATTATTCACAAATATCACCTAATAATTAATATGGTATGTAAAAACAATTGGTCACATTTGTTCTCTCGAAAACTGCCTCTCTTTTTAAGTATAGGTCATTCAACGGATTCGCTGAAAACCTGTTGGTAGGTAGCCGTAGTGAGTTAACCCAAGTTCTGGGCGTATTCGGCTTATCCTCCTTTGGTTTAGGTATCAAGTTATGATATATTTACCAGGTGGATAAATGCACGGTAGTAGCATCCTTTCTTTTACTCTTCAGGTGATTGTACGGCAGTTTATTGTGGTGACTATACAAAATATCAAGTGAGAGACATGGAGTCCTTTTTATTGGTCCCTTGACGAATTTGAGTAACTCAACTGTGTTCTGTGATTCAGATATTGCTCACATTAAATAAGTTTATCGAATAATAACACCAACCAAAGAAAAGACCGAACTCGGTTCTTTTGGAAGCCTTGGAACTTCAACATCTGCAGTACAGAAAGGTTGGGATCAACATGATCATAACTTATTATATCAAATCATTCTGATGAACCGTATTTTGTATCTAATGTGTACTGTAAGCTTATTTCGATCAATATTTTATTTTTGTTGGTGTTTTGAGTCGTACGAAGTTCCTTTCAGCTCCCATACACTATTAATTCTCACGTTTTACTCTTCATTAAAAGCACTAATTTCTTTTCAAGATAGTTATGATCAGCTGACTATACTTATAATATGACCTACATTTTAAGTTTCTAAAGTCTGTTTTCATTCACTTATTTGCTAACTTAGTCAGTCGGTCAGTTACAACGTAGAACTTGGTAATTACGTACATCAGTTCAGGTTGCCATACCACATTAGCTCAGAGACGCAGATGTCAGTTCGAATCCCTTAGTCGTGGAGATAGTAGAAGAATAAGCGGTAACGGAGAATATTAGGGATCGAAGATATTATTCAAGAAGTATCGATCAGTGAGATAATTTTAGAAAGAGAAACAGAGATGATGAGAAGTTCTGAAGATTAGGATTTGAGAGAATACAAAGAACGGACGCACCTGCACCATTGCAAACGATTTTGAGCCACGTCTTTCAATGTCTCTAACCATCGGTTACTTCCGTCTCGCAGACCCCAACCATTTAGCCTGTATCTATCAACATGAATCAGTCCACTTGTCAGTGACTTCATGGATTTGTGCCATGTTTTGTTCTGGTCGCCCCTAGCATCCTTCCAACCTACTCCTACATTAGATAACATTGCTTATCGAGACAGTCGGTGGTTGGGCATACGTAACACATGTCCCAACCACCTCAACTGATGCAGTTTCAATACTTCATCAACTGATCTACCATCCCTACCTAGAACTCGTTTCCTAACGACAGCACTGCTTACTTGGCTGTCCCAGGATATTCGAGCAATGCTTCGAAGACATCTATGATCGAATATCAACAAGCTACGAATGTCCTATAATCTTACCGGTCATGTTTCGCATTGATATAGTAGGAGAGAGCAAACTGCTGCGCAGTACACTCGTCCTTTGGTTGGTAGACAGATATATCGCCTTCAGCATGAGTGATGTAAGTTGGTGAAAACCAATCAAGCCTTCTGTATCCGTGCTGAGATTTGTCTCACACCCAGCCATCAGCACTGATGAGACTCCTGAGGTAAGTGAAGCGGTTAACATGCTCAACCGCTTCACTCCTTATCACTAGTTCAGGTGCCAAAGTAAGCCAATCTTGAAGCAGCATTTTGCATTTCGACATGGAAAATCGCATCCCGAATATGCTTGGGTTGTTGCTTAGGGTAGTCAGAAGATTTTGCATTTTGTCAGCGTCTTCACTAGGTAGAACTATCTCCTCACCATACTCTAAGTCAGCAAGCGAGTCTCCTAGTAGAAGGTCTACTTCTGAAAGGTCAGACGATGATAAAGTTAACTCTAAAAGCATGTCTACGACAAAGTTAAACAGGAATGGAGAGAGTGGACATCGCAGACGGACACCGCTTGAAGTAATCAGTTCCTATGATAGTTCACCATAAGCTATAATTCGACCAGTGGTGTTCAAGTGGAGAGCTTGTATAAGGTTAATGTGCTTCTTTGGTACACCTTTTCATGACAAACACTGTCGAAGAACTTCACGATCAACAGAGTCGAATGCTGCTCTGAGGTCGAGGAAAACAACTATAGTGGGACGTCAAAGTGTGTGTCCATATTCTAGAACCTGACGAAGGGTGAAAATTTGGTCTATACATCCACACCCAAATCGGAAACCACCCTGGTTTTCTATATTCTGCTCTTCACGAACCCTAGTTAGGCGTAGAAGTATTATCGAGGCTAACATATTTGATATTACATTAGTGAGAATGATTCCTCTGTGATTGTCACAAGAGGAATTTTGTCCTTTCTTATAAATTGGGACAATCGGCGATTGTGGTTTGTCTTACTAGTAGGTATCACTGCTGTTTCCACAGCCTTTTTGACATCATTCCAACCTGACTCCGGATGAGAATCGCTCACATGGTCGCTTGTCTTTCTAGTTTCTCCTGGAATATATTCTGAGCTTTATTATCATTGAGTAAAACCCTAAGAGGCTTCCTTATGGTGTCCAGTAAGTCGCAAACAGATGAGCGCTCGCACTAGGGCATGATCTGAATCTAAGCATGTGACCCAGAACGAGCGACAGTCTTCTATCGAACCCCTCCATCGGTGGCTGACGGCGATGTGATCCGGTTGGGTCTATCGTTGAGACGACTTTGGGGGTCGCCAGGTCAAGAGATGCTTTTCCTTATGCTTAAAGTTAGTTTTTGCTAGAAACAGGCGGTTATCTGAGCGTAGTTGCAGCAAACGGTCGTCATTATCTGTTCTTCGAGCCGCGACACCATAAGATCCACCAAGGTGTCTTTCCTGCTCACTTAGTCTGCCTACCTGAGCATTAAAGTCGCCCGCCACTATTACTACATCAGAGCTCCTAACTTTTTGGAGGAGGTTGGAAAGCCTCGTGTGAAATTAATCTTTTACCTCACTTGAGCTGCAGTCAGTGGGAGCGTAGGCAGATACGATGAAGAGGCGACGGCGAGTGTCCTTATTGTCCCGTTTAGTCGGACAGCGCACAAGCGACTATCTACCGGGATGCATTCCAGGAGAGCTAGTTCTGCCCTACGACTCAATGCTATACTTATGCCAGCTAGACCCCGGGAAACAGCATCAGGGCTTCCAGATACACGAGGAGTAAATCGAAGTGCTTCTTTATTTCGACATGGAGAGGTCAAGGGAACTACACTATTTGGATCCTGTATGCGCGTTTCGGAGACGCAGCATATATCGACGGCACGAGATTCTAAAATCCTAGCTAAGGAAGCCTGTTTCCCTAATTGACACAATGTCCGTACATTGAAAGCTACAACACGTAGTTTAGAGCGGGGTTTCAGGAGACCAGGAATAAAGTAGCGGTGCGGGGTGATAGAGGAATGCGAGAAGAGTTAGTCGTGAAGATAAAGGGGATGTTAGGGGGTGTAGGAAGGATTTGATTGTGACCGATTCGGTCTTGGGTACGTGTGTGAGGGCGGATGTCACTTCCCAGCTGCCCACACCGTGGGAGGGTGTTTCTTGAGGAACCTGAAAAGGAAGATAGATTAGTGTTGGTCCTAACAATCTGGGAGCGTGATCGCAGAGCGTAAGGGACAACTGATTGAGGCTGGTCATGCGTGGCCTTTTTATGAGAAGTTTTTAAAATATTAGCTCCTCTTGTTTTAAGCCCTTACCTCCGGAGACAGAAATCAGTGAGGTAAGGTAAGTTGTGACATTTTTAGGGTCGACCTTTTCTAACCGCTTTCTTCCTTGTGAGAAGGCAGCACCGCTGCAATGCTGGTTGTCTGAGAGAAAAACCTTACTGCTGTCACACTCTTCTACAGTCAGCATACGACTGCTCCCAGAGTTTGAGTAGCTGCTTTTAGCCTCATAGACTTTTTCGTAAGTTTATGATTACGTGGTCTTCATTAATCTGTCATCTATTTTGTGTCA